AAATAAATAGAGTAACCATTATTCTCCTTAAATGAATAACCGTATTGCCATAGACATAATCCAATCATGTCTATGCTCAACGCAAACACCAAATGACAATTATTCAGGTTTAATACTAATCTTGATGGTAGAGGGAGCGGGCGATGTTTGATCACATCAACCTTGGAAAGACTTCCAACACACATCGTCCTCTCACCTTTAGCTAGTCTCCGTTTATTCCGTAGCTCTTTATTTCGAGTTACTAACACTTAGCAACCGAACCGGTATCTAATACCATGGTGCTACTAGGAGTACTAGTAGAGTACACATTAACATAATGTATATCCAATATACTTCTATCGACCTTTCCAGCCTTCTTATCTACCAAGTATCTAGGGTAATTCTGCTCCAGTGGTTGCTCCCCTTATTACAGAAGCACTCAGTCTCGGGTTAAGGTTCAACCTTGGGTTTCTTCACTGGAGCAGCAGCTGATTTGCCGTTTCATGAAGTATCCCTTCTTGCCCTTCTTGAAATTGGTGGTTTCACCAACCATCAACAATTGATGCTACTTCTTGATTTCTACTTTCGCAGTGTCAAACATCGCGAATACCTCAAGGATCATCATATATATCCCTGATATGTTATAGTTCATCATGAAGCTTTAGCGGCTTGGTGGCAATGACTTTGGAGAAACATCACTATCTCATCTGGAAGATTAACTCCCACTCGATTCAAGTGATAGTTGCACTCAGACAATCTGAGCACAAGCTCAACGATTGAGCTTTTCTCCCTTAGTTTGCAGGTTAAGAAAATCGTCGGAGGTCTCATACCTCTTGACGTGGGCACGAGCCTGAAATCCCAATTTCAGCCCTCGAAACATCTCATATGTTCCGCGACATTTCGAAAACGTCTTTGGTGCCTCAACTCTAAACCGTTTAACTGAACTATCACGTAGTTATCACAACGTGTATGTCCAATGTTCGCAACATCCACAAACGACATTTGGGGTTCAGCACACTGAGCGGTGCATTAAGGACATAAGCTTTCTACTGTCCGCATAATTGCTATCAACTTTCAACTATATTTTCTCTAGGAACATATCTAAACAGTGGAACTAAAGCACGAGCTTACGACATAATTTGCAAAGATCTTTTGACTATGTTTAGGATAATTAAGTTCATCTCATGAACTCCCACTCAGATAGACATCCCTCTAGTCATCTAAGTGATTACATGATCCGAGTCAACTAGGCCGTGTCCGATCATCACGTGAGACGGACTAGTCATCATCGATGAACATCTTCATGTTGATCGTATCCTCCAGACGACTCATGCTCGACCTTTCGGTCTCTTGTGTTTCGAGGCCATGTCTGTACATGCTAGGCTCGTCCAGTTAACCTAAGTGTTTCGTGTGTGTAAATCTGGCTTACACCCGTTGTATGTGAACGTAAGAATCTATACACCCGATCATCACGTGGTGCTTCGAAACGACGAACTTTCACAACGGTGCACAGTTAGGGGGAACACTTTCTTGAAATTTTAATGAGGGATCATCTTATTTACTACCGTCGTTCTAAGCAAATAAGATGCATAAACATGATAAACATCACATGCAATCAAATAGTGACATGATATGGCCAATATCATTTTTGCTCCTTTTGATCTCCATCTTCGGGGCTCCATGATCATCATCGTCACCGGCCTGACACCATGATCTCCATCATCATGATCTCCATCATTGTGTCTCCATGAAGTTGTCTCGCCAACTTATTACTTCTACTACTATGGCTACCGGTTAGCAATAAAGTAAAGTAATTACATGGCGTTGTCCAATGACACACAGGTCATACAATAAATAAAGACAACTCCTATGGCTCCTGCCGGTTGTCATACTCATCGACATGCAAGTCATGATTCCTATTACAAGAACATGATCAATCTCATACATCACATATCATTCATCACATTCTTCTTGGCCATATCACATCACATAGCATACCTTGCAAAAACAAGTTAGACGTCCTCTAATTGTTGTTTGCATGTTTTACGTGGCTGCTATGGGTTTCTAGCAAGAACGTTTCTTACCTACGCAAAAACCACAACGTGATATGTCAATTGCTATTTACTCTTCATAAGGACCCTTTTCATCGAATCCGTTCCGACTAAAGTGGGAGAGACTGGCACCCGCTAGCCACCTTATGCACCAAGTGCATGTCAGTCGGTGGAACCTGTCTCACGTAAGTGTACGTGTAAGGTCGGTCCGGGCCGCTTCATCCCACAATACCGTCGAAACAAGATTGGACTAGTAAGGGTAAGCATATTGAACAAAATCAACGCCCACAACTACTTTGTGTTCTACTCGTGCAAAGAATCTACGCAATAGACCTAGCTCATGATGCCACTGTTGGGTAATGTAGCAGAAATTCAAAATTTTCCTACGTGTCACCAAGATCTATCTATGGAGAAACCATCAACGAGGGGAAGGAGAGTGCATCTACATACCCTTGTAGATCGCTAAGCGGAAGCGTTCAAGAGAACAGGGTTGAAGGAGTCATACTCGTCGTGATCCAAATCACCGGAGATCCTAGTGCCGAACGGACGGCACCTCCGCGTTCAACACATGTACAGCCCGGTGACGTCTCCCATGCCTTGATCCAGCAAGGAGAGAGGGAGAGGTTGAGGAAGACTCCGTCCAGCAGCAGCACAACGGCGTGGTGGTGGTGGAGGAGCGTGGCAATCCTGCAGGGCTTCGCCAAGCACCGCGGGAGAGGAGGAGTAAGAGAGGTAGGGCTGCGCCAATAGGGGAGAAACTCGTGTGTTGGGCAGCCCCCAGACCTCATGTATTTATAGGGGGAGGGGAGGGGGCTGCGCCCCCTCTAGGGTTCCCTCCCCAAGGGGTGGCGGCAGCCCCCAGATCCCATCTGGGTGGTGGCCAGAGGGGGAGAGAGGGGAGGCGCACCTGGAGTGGGCCTTAGGGCCCATCTGCCCTAGGGTTTGCCCCCTCCCACTCTTCCCTGCGCCTTGGGCCCCTTGTGGGGGGTGCACCAGCCCACCTGGGGCTGGTCCCCTCCCACACTTGGCCCATGCAGCCCTCCGGGGTTGGTGGCCCCACTTGGTTGACCCCCGGGACCCTCCCGGTGGTCCCGGTACGTTACCGAAAAAACCCGAAACTTTTCCGGTGACCAAAACAGGACTTCCCATATATAAATCTTCACCTCCGGACCATTCCGGAACTCCTCGTGATGTCCGGGATCTCATCCGAGACTCTGAACAACATTCAGTAACCATATACAAACTTCCTTCATAACCCTAGCATCATCGAACCTTAAGTGTGTAGACCCTACGGGTTCGGGAACCATGCAGACATGACCGAGACGTTCTCCGGTCAATAACCAACAGCGGGATCTGGATACCCATGTTGGCTCCCACATGTTCCACGATGATCTCATTAGATGAACCACGATGTCAAGGACTCAATCAATCCCGTATACAATTTAATTTGTCTAGCGGTATTTGTACTTGCCCGAGATTCGATCGTCGGTATGCCGATACCTTATTCAATCTCGTTACCAGCAAGTCTCTTTACTCGTTCCGTAACACATCATCCCGCGATCAACCCCTTGGTCACATTGTGCACATTATGATGATGTCCTACCGAGTGGGCCCAGAGATATCTCTCCGTCACACGGAGTGACAAATCCCAGTCTCGATTCGTGCCAACCCAACAGACACTTTCAGAGATACCTGTAGTGCACCTTTATAGTCACCCAGTTACGTTGTGACATTTGGTACACCCAAAGCATTCCTACGGTATCCGGGAGTTGCACAATCTCATGGTCTAAGGAAAAGATACTTGACATTAGAAAAGCTTTAGCATACGAACTACACGATCTTTGTGCTAGGCTTAGGATTGGGTCTTGTCCATCACATCATTCTGCTAATGATGTGATCCCGTTATCAACGACATCCAATGTCCATGGTTAGGAAACCGTAACCATCTATTGATCAACGAGCTAGTCAACAGAGGCTTATTAGGGACATGGTGTTGTCTATGTATCCACACATGTATCTGAGTTTCCTTTCAATACAATTATAGCATGGATAATAAACGATTATCATGAACAAGGAAATATAATAATAACTAATTTATTATTGCCTCTAGGGCATATTTCCAACAGTTCTCTCCATTGCCTATTCTCCTTATTAGGCCTTGTTTCAGCAAATCACGTCCCTCAATGATCGCTCGCCAAATTTGGCTCGGATGGCTCCCCAAGTCCGCATCAAGAATACAATTATTTGGAAAATAGACACTCTTGAGAATTCTTGCACTCAGAGAATTTGGAGATTGAAGAATCCTCCAAGCCTGCTTTGCTAGTAATGCTAGGTTAAATAACTCAAAGTCTTTGAAGCCCAAATCACCCATACTTTTAGGCTGGGTCATTGATTCCCATGACACCCAATTTGGCTTTCGATGGCCATCCTTGTTGCCCCACCAAAATTTACGGATTAACATATTCAAATGCTCACACAATCCTCTAGGCAACTTGAAACATGACATAGAGTAAACTGGTATAGCTTGGGCAACTGATTTGACTAACACTTCTTTACCTGCCGATGATAAAGTTTTCTCAATCCATCCCTGAACTTTGCTTCATAAATAATCCTTCAAATATTTGAAAGCCCCTACCTCTGTTGGCATACCAAGATACTTAGCACTCAAAGCTTCATTTGGAACATGCAGCAAGGTTTTTATTTCCTGTCTCACACTATCAGGGCAACCCTTACTAAAAAATATTTGAGACAAATGCGGCAATATATTAGACTTGCACATTTGCATCACACTGGGCCAGGTTTTGGGCCGGGCCTTACAATGGGCTCGGCCCGAGGGGTCGTCCGCAGATCCACAAAACATCGGGGGTGTTCCGCGCAAAAACGATTCCCCAGACCCAAATTACCGCATCAGACAGACGGCACACCCACTCCAGTTATCCGAATCCCCGGCACCAGCCACGCCGTCGTCCCATGGCGCTTGCGCTGCGCTGCCCCGCCGCCGCCTCGCCGTCCAGGGCCCCCTTCCCCAACTCCTCCTCCCACTCCCAGTCGGCTGCGAGGCCCGCGAGGAGGCCGGCGGGGGGCTGCAGGTGCCAGTACTACCACGGCGACGCCCCCCCAAGAAGCTACGACCACATCCCCAAGCAGTTCCGCGAGGAGAACCTCAAGGATGGCCGTAAGCTCCCTCCCCCTTCTCCCCCCCTCAAAGATTCATTGGAGCATCTTGCTAGGCTGGCTTATCGTGTAGTGAACCTATCCTGCCTGCCATGGCTTCAACCTTCGAGCAGCAGCTCACTCCTGTCAGCTGCTGAAATATGCCTCCAATGGTATTCATTATAGTATTTGGTTTTGTAGACAGACTATGTGATGTCCGTCTTAAGTTCTGCTAGAACTCATAATCAGACCTCCAATGGTATGCAACCATGAAACAGAACAAAAATTTCATCTGTACTGGTTATGATTGTTTCAAGTTAAGCTACTGGTTCGTAGATTCAGGCAGTTCACTGCTGCATTTCAAGTTTCAACGCTCACACCTGGGCAAGAACCGGTAGGTACAACTGTACAGAACCATGTACGTAAAGCGCATCGAAGATGAGATACTTCTCCTATCTGCTATGAACTACATAGGTCTTTTGTAGAGCAATTGGCGGTACCAGAATGTAGATAGCATGTTGGATACAGCTGACTCAGCTATGACTAGGAGTTGAGGCTATTGAGCAGAGTCAATGGGCTATGGATGGTCTATAGGTCCAAATGTTTGTGGAAGTTCAGAAGTTTACTACTGCACGATATATCATCTTCATGTTGTCTTACCAAATGGTAGGAAAATATATATCCATAGGGCAATTTTACTGTCCGGTGATTGTTAAGAAGCAGTAGATGTTTTTTCCAAAAGAAAGCCGCAGGGGAGAAATGGTAGATGTTTGCAAATTAACTATTCAGAAGTGCCAGACTGTATCGATGTTTTATCTTCCTAGGTGGTCTTGTCTCATCAAACGGTCAATATAAAATGTCCTCATATGACACATCTATGCATGCTTACAAACCGTAGCTGTAGCTTTTACTGGTGGGGGATAAGCAATTGTACCTTATCCCTAACGCTTTCTGTACCAGTTATCTTGTGTGCGGCTTTAAGGCTTTTTTTTAACCTTCTTGCAGTGATGGATAATTACAAGAATGTTCCCCAGTTCCTTTATGGCTTAAGCCCATCTCAGATGGAAATGTTTACAACTGACGACAACCCTTATAATCGGCAGTCAAAGAAAGTTACAGAGGTTGGTGAGATTATATAGCTCTGCTCATTTTGTTGAAGTTTGTTCTATGGCACTAATACATTGAACATGACATGGTATTTCCCCCCCTATAAATGCAGGAAAGCGTTGCTGCTTTGAGGAGTTATGATGAATTCGGTATGTACTCCTTATCAGGCACGCATGAGGGCCCTGCAAATTACAGCATGGGTATGGGCATGCCCAGCATGAGCATGGGTAGAGCAGGGAAAGGATATAGAAGAATGAGAAGCTCAGCCCCGGATCTGCCATCATTGCTGTTGGACTCCCGAATTATATTTCTTGGAATGCCAGTAAGAGATCAACCTTCTGTCTTAGTTCTTATGTGCAACACTGAATTTATAAGGTTTCAACTAGCAAAATGGTAACCTTGTGTTTTCGTTGTCCTATTGCTAGATTGTTCCAGCTGTAACTGAGCTTATTGCTGCTCAGTTTCTGTGGCTAGACTATGATGACCGCACGAAGCCAATTTACTTGTATATAAACTCCACAGGAACAATGGTACGTACTTAATTGTTAACATGCCATTTTCCATTCTGTTTGACATTATTCGAGTATTGACATTCCTATTCTCTGTGCTGCAATAGGATGAAAATAACGAGCTGGTCGCGTCTGAAACTGATGCCTATGCAATTGCTGATTTCATTAATGTAAGCCCTTATCTTTTGTCACTCAGATTAACTGGAACTTGACATACCTTTCTATCGTGCCCATAATGTTACACATATTTCGTCATATCTTGTGTCGATATTTGCATATGGGGGTTGGATTCATGAACTATGTTTGCATTAATGATTCTCTGTTTTTATTATAGTCCCAGGGCATATCTATATTTTGTGACTGGGCAAGTAATTATTGTCTTTATGTTGCAATTTTTTAATATCAAAATTGTTCAGAAAATTTTGTGCAAAGTGCATGTCATTGCAGCATGCCATTCTATTTAGCCCCTGGGGTTTTTAGTCTATAGTGGTTTGAATATTTTGCATATTTGATTGTGTTCCTTCGTATTTCCAAAAATTGAAGCAAAGTTCAATTGGCTGGAGTTGTGTCTGCTATCAGAAATGCTAGCTGTTACTTTGATTATTTTTTTGCTTTTGCTTCCACCTTTGGTCGTAAGGTGGAAGCAACGGCCACCTTGTCTGGGAGCTTTCAGCACTGGCTATGCCCTTTTTTTGCTTCCACCTTTGGTCATAGAGGCTCTTGAATTTACTTGATTAGTGTTTAGTGAACCATGGATCTGCAGAAGATGGATGCTTGTATCCCTCAGTCTGTGCAGTTACATCTTAACATACTCCATTGATTAATCAAAGGGAACGAATCATTCCATTCCCTTTGAGGCGATAGGACTGTCCACGTTGATTTTCTTACATACACAAAGAGTTCTATCTGACTCTCCTATCATATTTTCTTTGTTTTACAGCGAAGCAAAGCCAAGGTTTACACCATCAACCTTAGCATGGCGTATGGTCAGGCTGCCATGCTTCTTTCCCTGGGGATGAAGGGTAAAAGAGGAGTGCTACCAAATTCGATAAGTATGCTACTTTTCTCGGATTCTTTGCCCACATGCATATGCAACTCTGACACGGTAGTCTTAAATATCTCTTGATGCGCATTTCTGAACTGCAGCTAAACTGCACCTGCCCAAGGTCCACAAATCCGGTGGAGCTGCCATTGATATGTGGATTAAGGTGAACTCAACTCTCCTTTCCAATATGTGTATATCTGACACGCGACATGATATCGCCGCCTTGCACTATGCACTGAATATTTTGTTTTGCTCTCAGGCAAAAGAGTTGGAGACAAACACGGACTACTATCTGGAACTCGTGTCCCAGGGAGTCGGTAAACCTAAGGAAGAGCTCGCAGAGTTCCTGAGAGGCCCGAGGTACTTCCGCGCGCAGGAGGCCATCGACTACGGGCTCGCCGACACGATCCTGCACTCGCTGGACGGCTCGTTCAAGCCGAAGGTACCACCTTTTAGCCCCTTGTCGTGTCCATGCATGATTTATGCATATCGCGGGGGCTTTGCGCTGATGAACTGTTTGGTGTGGATCAGGACCTGACGGCGCAGCTGGCCAAGGCGCAGGAGATGCGGCAGTCTGGGAAGCGCGCTCCGGCTGGAGCTGGGCGATGGTCGACCCCGACCGCACCCAGATAGACTAGAACGCGACGATATGCTCAGGCGACTGTCCTGTCTGTTGGTTATAGACTTAGAAGATATCTGTCTGTTGTCTGGGATAGATTATCCACGCCGGTATCGTTGCCACCATCTTGTCATGGATATTGTATTGTCATGGAAACCCCAAAATTTTGCCAACTCTGGTTTGTAGAAGAAGTGATAATGATAATAGACTTGAGGTTTCTTGTGTCAACCTGCATATTATCTACAGAAATACCATAGCATACGTACCATTTAGTTTTTTTCGCCTGTAAAATGTTTTTTTTGTTGCGAACAGGCATACGGCTATATATTAAGTATCACAGGTCCTTACAAAAACATTGTTACAGAAAGATTGAAATACATTTTTTCTAGAAAAAGTATACAGTTTGGTTACACAAATAGTTCTAATTTTTATTAAATGTGTACATTTATCCATGTATTTTGTATGCATTGCTTACTTCCAGGAGAAGAGCTTGTGGCAATGGCAGTACCGATCATCTACATTAATAATGTTTTATAGTTCAGAAAAGAAAGTCCTAATAAAATTTTCTTTATAAATCTCTCACTCTTCATTAAAAATCTCATCTGTATAAGCAACATGCTCACACTCACGTTGAAAATTGCTTTTCTAGGAGGGGTTTTTCTTTTTGAGATATTTTGAGGAGGCTGGCAGGCTAGACTGAGCCGCCCAAAAAGAAGGCTCGTCTCATCTCCGGCCCGGCCGGCTCGACGCGCAGAAGCGGGCCGCATCTTCATGTCAGGCCCAAGCCCAGCCTAACAATGCAGCTTCGGGCGCATATTCCGTCGCACATGGAGCCCGAACGGAGAAAACAAAACACACGGGGGCCCCACTCTCCTTCGTCTCCCCCACCCCAACGCCGATCCCCAATCCCTCGCCGCCGCCGGAATCCTCCTCCGCCGCCCGCCCGCCTGCCCGCAGTTCTCCCTCATACCCTCCCCCACCACCATCCACCGCAGCCGATCTACCGCCGCGCCGCCGCCGCGGAGTGGCCGGCCGCGCGCTCGAGGACGCCGGCCGTCGGCGACGGGGGAGAAGGCGCGAAGGCTCCGCTGCCGCGGTGGCTTGCCGCGGCGAGCAGGCCTCGGGGCGGAAGCGGGAGGAGGGAGCCGGCCGACGGCCGTCACCGTGGACGGTAAGAGCAGCAGCTGTACTGTGGCGCCACATCGCGCAGCGACCATGATTGATTTCCGCCAGCTTGATTTATAGACGTCCGTCCCTGTAGCTGCAAGTCCATCGCTGAGTAGGGTAGATACAAGGTGTAGCAGACATGCGGTAGAGAGTATAGGATGGACACGGCAGAGCGGGTGTAGGTCTAGGGTTTTACAGGGGTGCTGGAATTGGGGGGAGCGATGCCGGGGGCGGTGGTAAAGGGGAGCCGCTGTGCCCGGCTGGCCTGATGCACGGTGAGGGTAGGGTGCCTGGCTTGACGGCGCGACAGCCGGGGTGTGTGCGATTTATGCCTCTCGGGGAGGGTAGTGAGGGGGGTTCAAATTCTTCTAGTAAGTGCTTAATAAAGAGTAATAAGAATAAGTAATCTCCTGCAAGATAATTGAAACGACATCCTCCTTGATCAAATCACTTTTGTTTTTGTTTGGGACCCTTGTCTTGTGAGACTATCCCCACCTTCTGGCACTCATCAGAAGTTTTGGTATATACGGGACTCATGCAATCCCATTTTGCAAAGAGAACGGAATGGAAATTTCTAACCGAATACTAAGCACGTAAATTCAGTCAATAGGCTTACTGGCCGATTAATCCCTACTCCTCACCCGACCGAGCAGCTACAAGTTACCGATATCCTGATCATTGGTTCCACCTCAGCTGGGTTTGCCTTCCACTATGGTTATGCTACGGTTTGATGTAGTTTCGCTGGCTTAACCGAACTTATTGCCCTGTTGCCAAACAGCAGTTTTCCTGTATATTGCAATTCTCTTCTTTCAGTAATTTCATCTTCTCCCGTTGAAAGAGCATGCCACAGTTTATGAGCCAAAACTTCGAACAGTCTAGATTATGTGTCATAAATAGAGGAGATGTAGCTACGTCTACATCTGTATAATTACTTTGGTTGTAAGCATCATGACATATACGGTGTTCTTATTGTAATGTTTGCATTCTCCCCCCTTTACAATCCCTTTGTGATGAACTGCTGGGATTTACCTTGCATGCTTAAGTTAATATCTTGTATGTATATTTGCAAATCAGAAGCCCCATTGAGCCTCCACATTTCATTATCAAGAAATCATGTCTAGCAGCCTTTATTGCAATGATATAGACCGTTGGATGGCACCTAAATCCATCTGTGTTTATTTGTCCGTCTCATCTATGCACATGACCCAACCGGACTCAATTAGCAGCGTAACTCACTCCTGTCTAAGTTTCCGTTTGACCCAGGATGTCCCTTTTTTTATTATCAAACTGCAAGATAACCATTGCCTATGAACATACATGCCAGACAAGTGAAAATCCACATGGAAGTTTGTAAACAATCTTTAGCTGCAGACTGCCACATTTGTAGGTTCTGACTAGCATATCGTACTTCTGAGGACACAGTGAACCTATCATCCAGATGTGGTGAATGTATACAAGAAAGGTTTAACGTCAGTGAGTGTGTAAATGCCAGTAGATAACAGTTGTCCTGTTTTTGTTGCATTGGAAAAAGGGAATTGTCCACCTATACTGTGGATTTAATTCTGATTTGAGTATCAACTGAATTTGTCTTGTGAGACTATCCTCACCTTTTGTCATTTAAGAGAAGCTTTGGTATATACCTTGGGACTTATGCAATTCCATTTCGTAAAGAGAATGGAAAGGAAATTTCTAGCCAAATACGAAGCACGTAATATTTATAATATACCAGTTAGAAATCCATGAATTGCAAATTTGCAACAGAAAAACAGCATACATAGTTAAAAATTTGTGTTTTTCCACATGAAGCAATGGCACATGGCAACTACTCCTCCGTCCCAAAATAAGTGTCTCAACTTTGTACTAGCTCTAGTACAAATTTGTACTAAGCTCAAGACACTTAATTTGGGACGGAGGGAGTATAAATTTGGCCACTCATCAAAAAAATCGCAAATATCGGTTCCACCTACGACGGCCTTGCCTTCCACTATGGTTATGCTACGGTCTGATTTGGTTTTGCCAGCTGAGCCAAACCTATTGCCCTGTTGCTCAACATCAGTTTTCCTCTATATTGCATTTCAAAATTAAGCTAGTATAAGTTTTCTTGGTTATTCTCTTCTTTCAGCGATTTCATATTTTTTTTCTGTTGAAAGTGTATGCCATAGTTTATGAGCCAAACTTCAAACAGGTTAGGTTATGTGTCATAATTAGAGGAGATCTAGTTACACATTTGTATGATTACTTTGGTTGTAAGCATCATGTCAAATGCTGTGTTTTTATTGTAATGTTTACATTTTTCTTGTTTCCAATCCCTTTTTAATGGACTGCTGGGATTAACCTTGCAAGCTGAAGTTCATACCTTATATGTATATTTACAAATTGGATGCTGCATTCGAGCCTCCACTTTAATTCTCGAGAAATCACCTCTAGCATCCTTTATTGCAGTGTTATAGACCGTCAGATGGCACCTAAATCCATCTCTAATTAGTTTTTTCCGTCCCATCTATCCACGAGGCCCAACCAGTCTCAGTTAGCAGCTGCAACTCGGTCCCTGTCTAGGTTTTCCCTTAACCCAGGGTGTCCCTTTTTTTAATCAAACCTCAAAATAACCATTGCTTATGAACATAATGAATATGGCAGACATAAAATTTAATATGGAAGTTTGTAAACGATCTTTAGGTTCAGACTAGCATATTGTACTTCTCAGGACACAGTGAAGGTATCATCCAGATGTGGTTAATCGTGAATGTATACAAATAAAGGTTTATTTGTCAGTGCGTGTGTGGCTCCACCTCTTGAAAATGCCAACAGACAGCAGTTGTCCTGTTTTTGTTGCATAGGAAAAAGTGAATGGTCCAACCGTACTCTTTTATTTAATTGCGCTCTGAGCATCAACTGAATTTGAGTTTTTTTTTTCTGAATAAATTTGAGTGTTTATTGACAGCCTGATTTGGACCAGAACCCTGAGCCATTGACTAAAACACTAATTTTTTGTATGCGGTATCATATTTGAATATGCGTCAGATGTACAGGCTGTCTGCCCCCAAACTCTATTCACCGCAGCAGCATATGACCGACCATGTTATGGTTATGTTTTAAACCTACCATCTTATATTAGGATATTGTATAACCTTTTTGTTCTGTAGGTTCTTAGCGCCTTGGCATGCGTAACATGGCAGCCTTTTCATTTGTTTCTTGCAATAGTTAGCTAGTTGGTTAGCTATTTAGTTGTGGCAACATTGAGAAGTATACAGATGTGCAAATATGCATGTGCAGGGTTTTTGATAATTTGTCCAAATTACTATGCAGGGCGATATTGTGATATTGAAGTGAAGACCTGTGGCACCTCCTGTACCTTTTGTATGGTATTGACAAGAAGTACAACTGCCTGGGTGATTATTTTGGGAAAATGGACCGCAGTAACCTACCTCCTGGAAACACGACGCAAGGAGCTCCTTATGGTAGTTTGAATGCACATGGTAACTCCATGCAAATGCATCCTCCAAGCTCAGGAAAACATCTATTCAACCAATCTCAGATGCCAGGGAGTTTCACAATGCCTATCAACCGGGCTACAGAGCATGATAACCCCGGATCCGGATTTCAGTTTGTAGAACATGGGAAAAGGGATCACCAGCAGCAGCAGCAGCAGCAGCACAACCATCTCATAAAGAACTCCATCAGTGACGACGAGGAGCATGATATGACCGAGGATACTACTGATGCCCAGAGTGGCAAGGGCAACAAAGGCTCAGCATGGCATCGGATGAAGTGGACTGGTTCAATGGTTAAGCTTTTGATTACCGCAGCGTCTTACACGGGGGAGGATCCTGGGGCGGATTTGGGCGGCGGGAGGAGGAACATTACAGTAATGCAGAAGAAGGGCAAATGGAAAGCAATATCAAAGGTTATGGGTGAAAGAGGCTGCAACGTGTCACCGCAGCAGTGTGAGGATAAGTTCAATGACCTCAACAAGAGATACAAAAGGCTTACGGATATCCTTGGTCGTGGTACTGCTTGCAATGTTGTGGACAATCCAGCACTCCTTGATTGCATGAATAATCTGTCTGATAAGATGAAAGAAGATGCAAGGAAAATACTGAACTCTAAGCATTTATTCTATGAGATGATGTGTTCCTATCATAACAACAACCGTGTGAACTTACCCGAAGATCTTGCACTTCAGCACTCACTACAGGTTGCTCTTAGATGTAAAGAGGAGCATGATCCGAGGAGGGATGCAAGTGGAGATGCTGAAGAAGATGACCACAGTGCAGATTCTGATTATGAGGATCATGACGAAGAGCATCAAGCAGTTCATCACAGTATGAGGGATCCTCCCATGAATAAAAGGATGTGTCATGCATTGGATCATGGTGATGCGGGTTTTCTCACCTCAAGCTCGAATGATGGTAGTGGGAGTTTGGATCCCCATGGCATCGCATTGGATATCAACAAAGTTTTTCCGGATGGAACCAACCTGTCTGTTGTGCGGAAGGAACTGGCTTCCCAAGCAATAGAGCTTCGGAAACGTCGGTTGCAGATTGAAGCACAGGAACTGGAAGTAACAGAGCAACGTCTAAAGTGGGAGAGATTCAAGAGGAAGAAGGACAGGGAAATCGAAAGGATGGAATCGGAGAATGAAGAAATGATGCTCGAGAACAAGCGTTTGGAACTTCAGCTAAAGCACAAGGAGCTAGAAGTTGAGCTTAAGCTAAAAGGCAATCCAGACCATGAATGATTTATGTTGGATCAGTCAGAAGCTTTGGTTTGCAGTATGGTAAGCATGAATGTTCTGGATATTCTTTTTTTTAATAGCTTTCACATTCTCTGGAATACAACATGTGTCAGTGTCAGATTTTAGTCGATGCGATATTTGTGTCCCTGAGATGTCTTTGCAGGTGTACATTAAGGGTTTTGCATAAATATAAGAAAGGCGTTAATTAGAGCATTAATGGATTTGCATAAATAAGAAAAACCGTCAATTAGGCCATCTACTTGTGAGTGATTTACACTAACAATATCCATAATGACTGTCATTTACATGGTGTACCTGGGTGATACATAATTATCGAATAGCAGATTAGATACAGACTACAGACAGTAAACCATATTTCATATTAGCAGATTACGGTGTACCTGGGTTTTGCATGCTTGATATAATTCCTTTCCAATGTTTCAGGTCGAAGGTGGCTTTTGACAAGAGTATGGCTGTTGAAGAAAAAATCCTGAAGACCAAATGAAGATGCGCCGGACATTGTCGAGTGATCTTCTAGTTGCCTCTCGTTCTTGTTGTTGTAAACATTTGTTGTTGTACTACCAGGCTTGCAGTAAGCATGTCACCTTATGGTGATAACTAGTTCCTCAGCTCTTTCGGTGTCGGTTTCTATGGTGAACATATAATAAATGTGTGCCGGACAACGAAAATTCACATGGAAGTTTAAAAACAATCTTAAGGTTCAGACTGTCACATTTTCTAGATTCATTCAGACTAGCATTTCGTACCTTTTGGGACCGAGCAGTTGGAAACTTGATGAACTTTTGAGACTATCCATATGCTGCGGTTGTATGCAAGAACGGTATACTCCCTCCGTTCCTAAATATAAGTCTTGTAGAGATTTCATTATAAACCACATACGGATGTATATAGATGCATTTTAGAGTGTAGATTCACTCATTTTGTTCTGTATATGGTCCATAGTGAAATTTGTCTGAAGACTTATATTTAGGAACGAAGGGAGTACTTGTCAGTGCGTGTGTGGGTCCTGTTCCACCTCTTGTAAATGACAACGTATAACTGTTGTGCTGTCTTGGGCCCATAGAAAAACGCAGGGATTCAAATTTGGAACCTTTTGAAAACTGCTTGGTTCAACCAAATGAATTAAAGTTTTAGAAGTGATGTAACTTTTGAAACACACTACCGTACTCGGCTGAGAAGCCATTCATGACCATGAGAAACACACTATTTATCGTATGATTTACTTCCCTAGAACAAACTGAAGATGTATGTTTTTTATTTTTATTTTTTGAAAATAACTGAAGGCGTATGTTGCACGTCAATCTTGAGCCAGCTCTGTGTTATCTCTATGTACACAGACTTTACTTGCACACATATCTTTACATGTCTCTGTACACTCTGAATCATACAAATAGCTTAGTTTAGTACATATCCTATATCCTATATACTTAAGAAGTTCATCCCCACTATTTGATTTATCTCTGCATGCAAGCTATCCACCTCAGCAGTGTGCCACATGAGCAATTCTTGCAGTAAATAATGCCAGACCGTGCCTTCCTTACCAACGTAAATAATGCCGATTCGGCTGCGGGAATGGCTACATCAATCACTTCTTCCATGGAAAGATTGGTGCGGATCCAACGCGAGCGGACAGGTAGTACTTTGGTGAGGGAGGAGGCGTTGGATGGACGGGGGAGTTTGCGGAAGGCAGAGGGGACGGGGAAGGGGAAGAGGAAGGGAGGCAACCTGCTCCTTTGGGCTTCGAAACTATTGATGCGGCTCTGAAAGTTGGAAGTAGAAGAGGGGTGGCTGTAGGATTCAGTACCAGCGGACCAGCGGTGGTCTGCATCGTTTTGTCTTGCACAGAATCGCACAAGTAGAGGTTGTGCTCGACATACTCCTCAGGTTGCAGTCAACGTTTTCTCATCAAGTATCCTCAAGGCTATGCCAACGTTTTTCTGATCGGGTGATTCTATTCGGTAAAAGTATGCTAGCATTACCAACTAAAATCGCTCTCTCTTTGTTTTCAGGATACTGGATGCGTGGTCGATTGCTTGACCAAATGATTTGAAGGTACATACAGATTAAAAGTTGGGTATGTGTTGAGTTATAATCTCAATGGCTTTCTTTTGGTTGATTTTTTCCGTCAAGAATGCACTTTCTTACGGAGGCTACAACAAGTTGAAAACAAGCCCATATTCCTGCATCCCGTTGTCCATGCACAGACAAATCGTCAGAGCGAAAATCTTTGACTATTTGTTCTATGCACATCTTTTGTCTCTAAAAATTTATAATATTCTAATCCATTTAAGATTTGTTTCTACTTTACCTGAAGTTGATTGCTTCAGCAATCCTTTTGCCCGACCAGCACCAACACGTGACTATTGGCATGTAGTTGATTAATTGACCGAACGAATATTCTAGCATGTTCGAAACTATTTGGTCGGGTACTACATGAAGGGTGTCAAATTGCATTATCCAGCTTAAGTTATACATGGCGATAAATCCCCCTTGATTAGTGTTTTCACTAGAACATTTGTAGTACTGCATCAGGTTACTTGGTTTGATATTGGCATTGTGGTATGCCATTTGGTATGGTCTACTTAGCGATTATTCATTTTGTTTCAAAAGTATGTAAATAAGGAGTCCACAATTGAAGAAAGTGTTCATGGGTCTTGGCACATGGGTGGATATTTCTAGCTACTTAAATATACATCAAGCTTAGCAATTGAATATCTCCAGAAGATGGACAAAGCTGATTTTACAACCTGTGAAAAATTGGAATACTGTTCAAATTAAGAAATAGAAATAACAGACTAATGTTTGTGATTTGAAATTTATAAATATAAGAACTAGGAATCCAATCTAAATTATGTTTGATTCAATTGCTTTAATATTTTGGATAGATGTTTTCACATACATAAGGAAAGCAGCTTCACCTCCACGTAATGAAGGGAGCACGTGATAACCTACAAGAAAAATCAGTGAGAAAATCAACTGTATGCATATATACTCTTCTTCTCTTTTTGAACATCCTGCATCTACTCTTCTTTGTGTTATCTAATCTTTTTTTGCAGGGGTTGTGTTATCTAATCTGATTAATCTCTCTCTCTCTCTCTCTCTGTGTGTGCGCGCGCGTGCGTGCGTGCGTGCGTGCGTGCGTGCATGCGTGCGCGCACATTCGTGCAATTTGCGAGTGCCAGGAGATATGTAATGCAATTATGAGTGCAAACCCGCAATTGACTGGTTTATTGAATGTCTCCATTAGAAACATTATCTTTTCAAGTAGCAAGAGTACCCAGTCAATAAAATTAAATCCTACATAATATTTTCAAAGACATGATTGGTTTGTCTTATGTTGTCCTCTTCAATTTGTGAGTACCAGGCAAGATGTGATAAGATGTGATGCAACTCCTTCCCCTGTCCTTGACATTCTCAATGATGTATTGCCGGTGGAATCACAAATTTGGATTTTTTGAGGCGCAACCAATTCCCGCCGCAATGCGCGGAGTATCATCTAGTTTACCCAGTGTTCGTGTATGTTACATATGCAGCGCTGCTCACTTCCTGAAGAGCTTCTGGGAGACGAGGAAGCCGATGGAGAAGGCGGCGACGCCGACGGCGACCACCTCCTTGTTCCTCCTCGCCGTCTCCACCGCGTTGTCCGCCCACTTCATGTCCGCCAGCCCCTTGAGCTCCCCGGCGATGCGCTCCTTCCAGGCCGCGCATGTCGACGCCACCGCCTTCTTCGCCTGCTCCGCTTTTGTTTCCATGGCCGTCGCCGCGGAAGCAGCCTTGGCCCTCTCCTCCTCGCCGCGCCGCCTCGTCGTCTCCGGGTCAACCGCCGCCTTGGCCTTCTCGCCGTTGGCAACCTCTGGCTTCGGCGCCGGCTTCTCTGGTGTCGTCGCGGCTGCTGCTGGCTGGGGTGCCTTGGGCTTCACTTCTTCTTCCTTCTTCGCCGCCGGCGCCGGCTTATGCTCAATTTGCTTGAGTCTGCTCTCCTCCTCCATGCGGTGAACATACTCCGCAACCTGGCGTGTCGTCTTACCAAGCGTGCTCTCCTTGGGCTCAGTGCCAACGACGGCTTCCTTCTTCTCGCCGCCGTCGTCCCTGCTAGCCGGCTGCTTGTCGCCGTTGGTCTCCTTCTTTCCAGCCCCGCTGTCCTTGGATGGCAGCCGGTGGGAGGTTGGTGACGGCGGCGGCTTGGCGGCACCCTCCTCCTTGGACATCTTCTTGGCGCCATCGACCTCTGTGGGTGGCGTCGGCCTGGCGGGCATCTTCTTGGCGGTGTCGACCTCTGCGGGTGGCGTCGGCTTGGCCTTCTCCTCCTTGGCCACACCACCGGGTTTACTCTGCTTGATTTCCTCGGTGCTCGTCGGTGGGGCCGTGCCGGCGCGCTTTGGCACGGTGAGCGTGAGCACGCCGGCCTCGAAGCGGCCGGCGACGTCGTCGAGGCTGGCGGAGGAGGGCAGCTGGAAGACCTTGTGGAGGGAGGCGCCCGGCCTGGTGCCGCGCACGGTGAGCCTCCCGGCGCCGTCCACCTGCACGCGGAAGTCCTCCTTCCTGAAGCCCGTCAGGGTGAGGCGGAGCACGTAGGTGCCGGGCTTCTCCGCCCACTCGAACTTGGGGTCCACCACCGCCGCCGCCGGCTGCTGCTGGCTGGTGGTGCCGGTGGCGGCCATGAGGAAGCGTAGGGAAGGAATCGTGATGGCCCGCGAGTGATGCTAGCTAGCTCTGTGGATGGATGATCGAGAGGTGAGAGATGAGATGAGAAGGGTGGCATGAAGCGCCGTGTATATATACGGCGTAGGTGACGGATGGAATGTTTGGTTGGTTCGAAGCTTGGGCTGAGAGGAGAGAGGATGGAAGGAGGAGATCGCCATGGATGCAAGGAAGAAGTGTAGCTTAGCTTGCAAGCTACATTCATGGAGTCATGGCCTCTTGCTCTTGGGTGAGGAAAGGTTTTGGGATCTAAATTTATGGATTCAGAAGCGAGGGAAGCTAAGGTATGGAGGTGAAGAAGGAATGCTTGCTTGCTTGGTGTGCATGTCATCGTGGCAGCCAAGCAAGCCAACTCCATGCGGCGTCGGGCGGCCGCGTAACTGGATCAAAATTCGCATCCTAATTTTATCTCACTTCAAGTATATGTATTAACTTGTCAAAAAATGGTGGCACGACTTCGGAGTGTTCAGCTTTTCACTTAAAATTTTAAATTCTGGCATTATTTTTGGTATTTTTTCTATGGAGATTATTGGTTTTCTGCATAAAGATGGTGTCGCACTTTGAGAAAAAACCCTCCAAACAAAATAAAGGTGAGTTTCCTCGCGAGATTTTTGGAAACATATGTCAATGGAGAATATGTTTTTCTTAGGAAAATTGGGTGGTGAGCTATCTCAAAAACAAAGAAAAAAAATGTATCCTTCCCCGCGAAAAAGGGACATGGAGCTTCATTCAACAATTATTATACTGATGATTAAATGGGGAAAAAAAATCAAACAACTCGATGCACAAGTGCATGAGAACAGCACCCAAGGTTTTGGATTTTGGATGCCAAAAAAAAACAAATCTCTTAGGGCATCGAGATTCCAGATACCGGATGGATTTTTTAAATAATGTTTTAATCCAAACAAAATTCAGTTACAATTCATGTAATCTTTCTATTGTACCCACCGGTTGTGGTGTTTTCTTTTTGGTTTTTCGTGTTAGTTGATACTATGTACTTTTCGGACCTATTTGCTTTTGTTTAATAAAGATGGTTAAGTGTATCATGATGATGCAAAGGCCATGGCCTTCCCCCTTTTCGAAAAAATGTCATCATGGTAATTGAGAAACACTAGTTACAATAAGGATCGTGCTACGCGTCAGACTGCAGATCTTTTTAAAAGATCCGCCGGTCTACGAACTGTATGATCCGACGGAATCTCCCCATCAAGCTTTGTTGTCAGTTTTGCAACAAAAGTCGTGTTCGAAGAAGCCTTTTGCAACAAACGTCTTGTTGTACATTTTTTTTAACAAAGGTTGTGTTGCATTTTTTTTTTGCATATAGGTCATGTTGCAGAATATTTTTTATTTTTTTGCAACAGAACTCTTCTTGCAATTTTTTTGCAACAAATGCCTTGTTGCAGAAAGTTACCGCATTGCATTGCTTTGCGTTCATGGCCTCGAGCAGGAGCTCGGTCTTGTTGGGGAAAGAAGGAGGGGTGTTGCATATGCGATGATGGTGGTTGTCAGTGTAAAAACCGGCAGACCTCGAGGTAGGGGGTCCCGAGCTGTGGATCTCGGATAGATGGTAACAGGAACAAAGAGACGATGTTTTACCATGGTTCGGGCCCTCTTGATGGAGGTAAAACCCTACGTCCTGCTCTTGTTTATATTGATGAAGACGTACCAAGTACATAGTTGATCTACCTCGAGATCGTGAGATGTGTTCTAACCCTAGGGCTAGGTGAATGAAATTGTGTTCATGTCCCCTCTCTACAGGCTAAACCCTCTAGCTTATATACACGCCAGGCAGGGTATCAGGGTTACAAGGTCAGTATCTTGGCATGGAGGCGGTAGGAGAAGTCTTGGAGTGTACGGCTAGCCTTCGGCAGATGCAGTCCTGATCATGCCACATCATGTAACTTCCGGAGTCCATCTTGGGAAGAATGAAGGCCCACTGGCCCATCCGAGGAGCCTGGGCCGACTAGTTTAGTACCCCCTAGTCCATGACACCGTCAGTAGTCCCCGAACTGGTCTTCTGCGTCGAGGATGATTTCCTTGATGAAGATAACCTCGGATCCGAAGTCCTTGGCTTGACAGACAAGTTCCCGGCCCTTCGTGGGTTGAAGACTCCCGAACCGCTCTGACAACTTTATCAAAGCGGCACATCCCACGATGGGTCGGGCAGTTACTGCTCACCCCAAATTGTGGCCCGAGGCGGCTTTCTAATGGCGCGTCCCATCAAGGTGGAGATCGTGCCCGCTTTCTTAGGGATATCATCAAGATTTTGTTTCCCCCTATGCGCATAACGTCATCGTTTGTGGGAGTGGCATCTTTATCGGCGCGGCCAGGGGGACTCTTGGCCTTTCAGTAGCTTATAAGAGTAACAAAGAGAATAGTGCAAGCAATCACGCTCTCATTTTCCTCCGCCTACTGCTTCGCCAAGCTCCAGCGCCCAGATCCAATCTCGCACTCTCCTTCCTCAGCAAATCCAAGCTCTCCCACCCAACCATGGACGATACCCTCAAAGGACACTTGGCTGGCTCCTAGAGCTGTGCGACGCGGGATACATCTCTGCCAACATCGCTGCCCGTGCTCCTGGCGCCAACGAGCAGGTGCCCGCTCCCAACCCAGGGGAGTTGTAGTCTTCGTCTCCGACCTCATCTGAGGCTTAGGGTTCCCGCTGCACCCGTTCGTGCGCGGGATGATGTTCTATTATGGGCTCGACTTCCACCACATGCCCCCGAACTCCGTCTTGCACCTTGCCTCATTTATCACAGTCTGTGAGGCCTTCCTTCGCATCGAACTGCACTTCGGACTGTGGCTGAAGACTTTCAGCGTCAAGCCGAAATCCAGCGGCTCCGATCTGGCGGAGTGCGGAGGAGCCATGGTCAGCAAGAACCAAAATGCTTATTGCTTCAAAGGCACCTCCATTGAGATGGTCAAGGAATGGTATTGTGAGTGGTTTTATATCACTTCGCCGCTTGCGCTTGGCCAAACTGAAGTCCCAGCCTTTTCGGCCGGGCCTTCGAGGAAGCTCAAGTCCTGGAAGGAGAAGGGCGTCATCTGGGGGAACCCAAGTAGGCGGAGACCTTGAACAAGAAGATCAAGTGGTGGTCCACCGAGAAGGACCTCCAACTCGCTAACGTAGTCAACGTCATTCTCAATTGCCTCATTCTCCCGCTCCAACTCCGGGCCAGCCCGATGTGGCAGCACAAACCCGAGGACGCGGGGCCCGTCCTCCACTTCTTCCACAGCACCTTGGCCGGCATGTGGACGCGTCTTTTCAAGTTGTCCAAGGACAAGATCCCTAAGGAGGGGGAGGACCTCGGTTTCGAGGTCGGCTACGGAGCCCCACCGGTAAGTGTTTTAACACACACGTTCATACTCATCCTTTCCTGGAAGGTGAGACAGATTTTGATGAATCATCCTTTTTTATAATTGCAGAAATGGTCAAATGAGAGCTCATAGCTCTCACCGAGTTATATGCTCAACTTAAAGCCTCTACCTTTATGTCTCTTGCCACCATTCCTCCGGTTGGTATGCATGACGGGGCTTGTTCTTCTAATTCTTCACTTGACTATGCATCCGTCCTTGTGGAGAACAAGAAGTTGAAATATCAACTAGAGAAAGGGTTTGTGTCTTGCATTCAAAGGAAAAATAACCTTAATGACCTCTTAAACAATCAAAGGGAATGTGTTGCTAAGGAGGAAATTGGGTTTGATCCTTACTCTAAGAAGAAGAACGGTCGATGAATAGCGGAGACATGATGACTGGCGATGCTAAGGAGTTGTAGAGGTGAGGGACGGACGGATTTTTTTTTTGAAAAGGAAGTTAAACCCCCAGCCTCTGCATCAATCAATGCATGTAGCTATTTTATTAATTATTCCCCGAGGGCCAAGAACATACATCAAGCCACCCAAAGCCATCACTCACACCTACAAACTTGATAATGCGGAGTGCTCTCACTCCCCATATCTATAACCGATGCCGTCCCCGATCTATCCATATAACGTATCATAACAAACAACTGGTGCAGCAGACCTAAAATGTACACCACATGCACACATTTTAGAAGTCACCATCATCATTGAACCGTTGTCCCATCTTCTGGAGAGAGATCCGCATCATCCTTGCTAGTCCGGCCATCCTTCGACACCACCACGACGCCCAACGACTCCACCGCCCTGCGCTCATCCATCCCGACGCGGAGACTCTGGAAGATCTGTCGTGCGTAGCACCTGCCGACCAGGCATGACACAGTGTAGCACCTGTCGGTCAGGCATGACTTGACATCTCTTACCAGACGCATCTGACGCCGTGGATAGAACGCCGCTCTTCATCCCAACCTCCACACCATTGTCGCTACTCGAGCTGACACGCGGAGCCCTTCACCCACAACAACTCTTCCCCGAACACCCAAGCCTTCCAAGACAGCGCCTCCATGGAGGGACGGACGGATGAAGTTAGGATTTTCTTGATATATTTTGTACTATATGCTCTTGAGTCAATGTCATATAATTCATGGTCGTATAGGACCAGATATGATTGACTCCATGTTTGATGTCTGAATGTACACACATATATATATCTTACATGGTTGTTGAGCCAATGCACATTTTACTACACAACAATAACCTGTACATATTACGTGCCCACTATTGGTGTATGCATATGAGATGGTCATCCTCGGTACGCATTGCTGCTCACTTACCGAAGAGCCTCTGGGAGACGAAGAAGCCGAGCGAGAAGGCGGCGACGCCGACGGCGACCACCTCCTTGTTCTTCCTCGCAATCTCCAACGTGTTGTCCGCCCACTTCATGTCTGTTAGCCCCTTCAGCTCCCCTACAATGCGCTCCTTCCAGGCGGTGCATGTCGTCGTCGCCGCCGCCGCCTTCTCGTGCCCCGCTTTCGCGTCCATGGCTGTCGGCGTGGCAGCTGCCTTGGCCCTCTCTTCCTCGCCGTCGCCGCACAACCTAA